AAAATGCCATCAAGAGGGATTAAGGGTTGAAACATAAATATTTGGCAGGAGATAACATTGTTATAGGAATATTCAAACTAGATACTCTTTTCTAGGTAAGTTACACTAATGTGTAACTTACTTTATTCAAACATAGATTCTTTACAATTATACTTTACTGCAATCCCAGATTTACACCAGATGAAATTGTCTTTTGTATTTTGAAACTTTACTCATCATATAGTGAGAGATCTGACATCTATTCACGTTCTTTTTCCCTTCCTTGCTTCTTCTCTCCCTCTCTCCCTCCCTCCATCCCTTCCTTCCTTCTTTCTCTTCCTTCTCTTCCTTCCCCTCTCCCTACTCTTTCTTTTTTGTCAGTTGTGGGGCTTGAATTTAGGGCCTAGGCTCTGTCCTTGATCTTTTTTGCTCAAGATTATTCGTTTTCTACCACTTCAATCCATAGCTCAACTTCTATTTTTCTGGTGGTTAATTAGAATTAAGAGTCAAAGTTTTGGCTCAAGCTGACTTCAAACCACAGACCTCAGACCTCAGCCTCCTGAATAGCTAGAATTACAGGTGTGAGCCACCAACGCCTACTCCCATTTTTCTATTCCACAATTTTCTGTTTAAATTTTCAATTTCTAGGTTTTATTGTTATGTCATGATTTATTTACCAAAATAGGTGAGTAAATTATTTTTCAGTTTTTGATGTGACCTATAATATATCACTCATTACTTGAAAAGGAAGATTTTGATAGTTCATTAGGACAAATATTATGCTAAAATTAAAATAAAATTGTATATTAAGAATAGTACAGGGATGTGTAATATATGAAATTGATATAAAAGCAAGTTTAATGACCCTCTGGCACATGATAGTGAATCTTCTTCAGTAGATAGTTTTAAACTATTTCTTTGTCAGACAGCGAATGGTGTGGTCTTCAGGGTCCACATTTAGTGCTTAAGGTGCTTTACATATTTTCTCTAGGCATTAGATTTGCTCTAAAGTAGTATTTCTCATTTTGTTCATCCCTGTAAATAGAAATATGTTAATTAATCCAAATAGTGTTAGCAATAAATTATTTTATTGCTTCATAGCTAGTGCCAATTTTGACAACATGCATTTTTCCTAGCTGTTTTATATAGAAATATTTTAACTAAAACCCATACTAAGACTAGATAAATACATTTTCCCCAGACTTGGAAGCTTCCCTTTTATCCCTTCAGCCCTTTTCTCTGTGAATTAAAAGCATGTTTTAGGACTACATTTAGAATGCAGGATCTGCCTTGAAACAATATAGACAGGAGTAGAACCTTGTAAAGATGATAAATATAAAATTATGTCATAATATTTCTCATGGTGCTTGATATATTTTTGACAGGCCATCACAGTATTTCATATGATACCAAAATAGGTAAAATGTTATAATTACCATGCCATTTTTCACAGATTTAGCATAATGTTTCTTTTTTGTGTATCTATGGTTTATTCTTAGATTTCACTACTGTGGAGTTTTCTTTTTTAAAATTTAATTTTCTTGTCAAAGTGATGTCTAGAAGGTAGTGAGTAAATTTCTTGTCAAACTTGTTACCATTCCCCCTCATTTTCCCCCACTTTCCCTCCCTCCCAAATCCCCTCCCAAGTTGTACAGTTCATTTCCAACATATTGTCTGGTGAGTATCACTGTTGCATTGGTTCATCCTTTGTCCTTTGTTCTCACCATTTTGTTGTTCCCCTTCCCTTCCCTAATTCAGATAAATGTATATACAATACCCAGGGTACCAAAATCAAATACAGTGACAATAGAGAATAAATCATAGGGGAAAAATGAAAGAAAAAAGAAATCACATAAAACATTAAAACAACAATATCAAAGAAAACCTCTTGTTTCCATATCTTGGAGTTCATTTTCCTTTGCATCATCTTATATGGTCATATATACATAGCTATTGAACTATTGTGATCCTCTGCTAAGACTATTCTGACATATACTAAAGATTACAAATGAGGGAAACCATGGAATCTATGTTTCTTTGTGTCTGACTTACTTAATATGATTTTTCCAAGTCTTTACATTTCCTTAAGAATGGGGTAATATCATTCTTTCTCATGGAAGCATAGAATTCCATTGAGTATATATACCACATTTTCGTGATTCATTCATCTACTGAGGGGCATCTAGGTTTGTTCCATATCTCAGCTATGGTAAATAATGCTGCAATGAACATGATTATGCTGGAAACTTTACTATATACTCAGAACTCAAAAAATTAAATACCCCAAACACAAATCCTCAAAGAAGCAACCAACCCATTAATAAGAGGGCTAAAAACTTAAAGAGAAGCTTCTCTGAAGAGGAACTAAGGATGGCTAATAGACACATGAAGAAATGTTAAACATCTCTGGCCATAAAGGAAATGCAAATCAAAACAACATTGAGATTCCACTTTTCCCCAATTAGGATGGCCTTTATCAAGAAATCTAATAACAACAAATGCTGGATTGGATGTGGCAAAAAAAAAAAAGAATACTATACTGTTGGTGGGAGTGTAAACTTGTTCAACCACTCTGAAAAGCAGTATGGAAGTTCCTAAAGAGGCTAAATATTAGAGCTCCCCTTTAACCCAGCAATCGCACTTCTGCATTTACCGAAATTACCACAAACAAGGCCATACTAAAGCTACTAGCACATTTTATTCCTGAAAAATTGGAACAGACAAGCATAAGAGTTTCTTATTTTCAGTAATGATAGAGAAGTAGTTAAAGACATGTGTTTAAGGTACTAATTATTCAACTACTAATGACCAGAGAGATGAATGATGAGATTTTCACCTACCTTTTGTAATGAATTATATATGTGATCATGATCATCATGCCATTTCATGAAAAAATGGAAGGTTATTCTGGAAAGAGATGTTCATATATTTTTAAACATTTTTCCACAAATTTCTTATGCCCAAAGGAATATTTAGGAATAGACAATTTCATAGAGATGGCATCAGATTAGTACATTCCAGTGCCTAAGGAGAGGGGTAAATGGAAAGTGTCTTCTAATTGGTAAAGAATTTGATTTAAGGGGGATGAAAATATTCTAAAATTAGACAGTGGTAATTGTTGTGCAATTGTGTGAATGTTCCTAAAACAACTTATAGGATGAATTTTACAGTCCACAAGTTACATTTTAAAATGTTGCTATAAAAAGAAATTAAGACCTTTTTTAGCCACCTCAATATCATCGATAATGGGGATTTTGTCACAAACAGTAAAAGTCTATGTCACTTTCATCAATACCTAAATTACATCTTCAGCTATTCTTACCAGAATGTCTATCTTGCCTGTGTGTGCAAATTCTGATTATGGGTACCTGTTAACTATGTTATGAATGTTATTTAAATCCCAGAACAGAATTTAAATGTGTGATATCAGAAAACCTTTGAACTTCACTGTTACTATAATGAGTACTTTTAGGATAAATATTCTCCCACTAATGATTCCTATATGTATGCCATGATGTAGGAAATCTATAAATATTGCCATTATTCCCCAATGGGGTATTATAAGCTTCTCTATTGTCCTAGAAATGTTTGCTAACTAGTATCAGTATTCTCAGCTGAAGAACCATTTTGTATTCTAATATATTTTAATAATGTCAGAAATGAAGTTAATGAAATCAATAAATTAATGATCTATATTCCTATATTGTATGCCTTGTAGAATTTCTGTATAATATACTACTTAAAAGAATGTATTTAAATGAATTATATATATCTTTTTTAAATTTTTGCACATGTTGGCTATTCTTTATTCTGAGTAACATCTAAAATCAAATGTTAAGCTGGACCCAGTGGCTCATGCTTGTAATCCTAGCTACTCAGAAGTCTGAGATCTGAGGAGGATGACAGTTCAAAGCCAGCCAGGGCAGAATAGTCTGTGAGACTCATCTCCAATAAACTACTCAGCAAAAGCTTGAAGTAGGTCTGTGATTCAAGTGGTAGAGGTGCTAGCCTTGACTACAAAGACGCTCAGGGACAGCACCTACCCCCTGAGTTCAAGTCCTAGGACCACCAAAAAAATCAAATGTTATACTCTTTAGTAAACTAATTTTATAAGACAAAAAAGCACAGTATATTCTACTTCAATCATTCTCCCTTAATTTCCTATCATTTTATAAATATTCCAAGTGGTAATGCTTCATTGGTTACTTATGCGGTAGTTTTCTTTGATAGCATTGTTAATAAACTAGCTTTTAAACAAAGCAATTGTTTCTTAATATATTAATTGATTTTTGATATATTAAAGAAATGTCCCCAAGGAACACAGAAGCAGCACACAATATCTCAGTGAAAACTGCATAAAGATGATACATCTATACTAGAATTGTCTTTTATTTCCTTTATTTCTTTCTTTTCTGTAATTATAATTATTGAGACAAAAACTAACAATTTCATTTTCATGATGGCAGTGATGATAGTGTCTTTAAATAAAATAAATAATTTCAAAGATTATTAATGCAAGTAAATTAATTGAGGTCACTTCACCTTTAACAATTCCCTAATCTGTTTTTTTTTTTTTTAACCATTGTGAGGCTTGAACTCTGGGCCTAGGTGCTGTCTCTCTCAGCTCTTCAGCCCAAGGAGAGTACTCTACCACTTGAGCCACGGCACCACTTCCGGTTTTCTGGTGGTTAATTGGAGTCTCATGGACTTTCCTGTCCAGGCTGGCTTTGGACCTTGATCCTCAGATCTCAGCCTCCTGAGTAGCTGGGATTACAGGCGTGAGTCACTGGCGCCCAGCTCAATCTGTTTTTTTTTGTTTGTTTGTTTTTGTTTTTTAACTTGCTTTTATGATCTATGTTCTGGAACACACTTGATAATGACATTTATAGTATGCATTAAAATAGGTGGAGAGAAAATAAATGTGTTTCCATCATCAAAGGTATCTTAGAAACTTAGAAATACTTTTTGTATTTGCTGAATCTGAAAATTTTTATATTGAAATACAATACTTTTACTTTTAGGTTTTCACTTCCAGTTGCTGCAACAGCTGAAAACTGCATTCTAACTATCTATCCCTATCTGGCTGCTCATATCGATAAGCAGCAAGTTATTTTAAAAGATGGTAAGTCACTTTCTTTTACTATCATTGAGTAGGTTTTTCTTATAAGGCTAAATGTATAAATATAAAGTGAATTAAAAATTAACATCAGTAGATACAGCTTAGTGATAGTGAATTCAGCTAACATGTGGAATACCCTGGATTGTCTCCTAGCTCAATCACTCACTCACTCACTCAATCAACCAGTTTAATAGCTTTTTCTCTAACATCTGTCATTGACAGAAGTTATGCTTATCAGTCTCCTAATCTCAAAAGTTGGCAATTAGCTTGAAGTTACACAAAAATAAATTATTACAGAAAAAATAAAGAACTCTACATAGAAATCAAATGAGGTGTCGAGTATATGGGCTGGTGTACAGATTATTGCTGATCCTGATATTTTAGAATGACTTCATAGAAGAGATATCATTTGTTTAGAGATTGATAACTCTCTGTAGGCTTCCACACACCATAGTTTTCTTGGGCTCCTCAAGCCACTCTTGAATGCTTCTTAGCATCTTTCATAATTTTTTTTTTCTTCGGTAGGTACTTTTTAATCTTTCCATTTATTGGAGGTCTGACCCATTTTCCATTGTCCCTTCTATGGCTTCAATTATAATTTATGTTCTATATAGCCAACACAAATCCGCTCAGTGTTTAACTGCCTTCTTGTTTCCTGAGGTACTTCTCCTGCACCAGCATGGGCCAAATTAACTCCCCTTATATACATTCTTATAGATGTATATAAAATATTGAATACTCTCCTTTCTCTCTTCAAAAAGCTATCCTTCACACTCTGGCCACAGGGATACTTATAAACTAAAAGTTGTATCTGGTCATTTTCATATATAAAATGCATGGTAGCACATCGTTGCAAATCCAGCACTCAGGAAGCTGAGTCAGAAGAATCATGAGTTTGAGGTCAACCAATGCCATAAAGGAAGTCTTTCTGCAAACAAACAAACAAAACAACTCAAAAAACTTAGCACAGAATATGGTAGAAAATAAGATGAATCTAAGTAAGACCCAATGTCATGGACATGGCCAAAGGCTTTATTCTCATTTCTGGAAATCTATCTCTCTGTGTTTACCACAGTAAGTTTCTGTGAGTTCTTATGAGATCTACATTTTGCTGATGATCTTTCCTGTGATTAGAACATTTTTTCATATGGGATCCTTCATATCTGCACACAGAAGAAGATGTAAGAGATTTGTATTTCTGTTGTGCAATTGTAGTTCTGTGCAATTCTGGCCATGGTCCTTCCTAATTTTTGTATTAATATGCTTATTATCTATATCCTTTTCCAGATATTTACATCTAAAAAGCCTGGGGGAGAATGAGAATTGTTTATCTTATTTTCCTTATGTTCATGCTTCACCAGTGTTTGGAGGATAAAAATATGTATTCATTCAATATTATATATTTCTAAATTATGAACCCTTAAGAAACTAATAAACATTTTCACAAATGGATTACATTTTGTGTAGTATATTTTGAGCATCAAAAATATTTTAAAATGGCTAAGTAGCAAGCATGCTGGCATATTCCTGTAATCCTAGCTTCTTAAGACTCTGAGATAGGAGATCATGAGTGAAAGTCAGCCTAGGCCCATGATCTTCCTATTTTTGCCTCCTGGGTAGCTGGGATTGCAGATGTGAGCCCCTGCTCCTACTCGTTGGTATTTCAGAAAGTCAACTAGGAATACTTTTCTTAGTAACCTTTATCAAATATCCCATTTTGAAGACTATATATAAATAATTTCAATTGTTTAGTAAAATGTCTTTAACACATCTGTTTATACTAAAGATAAATACTGTTCTTTCTTCAATAATTTTTATATACGATAATAAATCTTATTCAATTTAGGGAACCATTATACCTATTATGATAGTTTTCATATTTGTTAGCATATTTGATGTGTAATGGATGTTTATATTTTCACTTTATCTTAGATAAGTATAAAATATAGGTTAATTAATTGGATCATGAATTCCACAAATGATTGATTGCTTTACTTTGGCCCAATATGTCATTTCTAGAAAAGGATGTAAGTCACCAAAGGGCAAGAAGCAGCTTTATGATTCCCTACCGAGACTATAAACTATACTCTTCGGGTTCAATAAGGACGTCCATTGCTCCTAAATATAGTGAGGCTGAAATAACGAGAGGAAATCTTTTTGTTGGTATGTGACAAATGTATATAATATTTCTGAAATTGAGTCCATGATGTTATCTGCATATTTTAATCTAAATTTTTTTTTCAAGGAAGAAATTCATGAAACAAACTAACATGAATTCATCTTAGTCTTAAATGTATTATCTGCTTTGGTAGTTCTCTTCAATGCAATGATCACTACCAAAAGTTCTCTTGGATCACAGAGGTCTTAGGGTCACAACACTCTTGCCTAAACTGTAATATGTACTATATAGTTCTATTTCTTAAGTGAATTAGTACAAAAATGGAAAAATAGTGATTGATGAGCTGTAGAATAAGCACTGCAGTAGTATTTAGCTAAAATGTTAATTAACATATGGTCCCCTATCAATTTGATTTGACATTCCTGGTACACTCTGTGCAGTTTGAGAGCTACAAAACTAGAAATGAATCTAAGGCTGTTTCTCTGAGAAAGAAGTGAGCAAAGATCTGAGATGAATATCATCTTCAGTGCACTGTACAAATATTCATCTCATAATATTAGAAAATGGGCAGGAACTTGTATTAATATATTTTTATTGTAAAGATAGTGTTACAGTTACATGAGCAAGGTAATAAGGGCATTTCCTATGGAGCATAGTTACACCCTTCTTAGTTTTTCCCCTATCATCCCTTCCCGCCCTCCCTTCTCCCTCCCCCACCTCGCCCACGCAAAGTTGTAAAGTTTGTTTTCAACTATGTCTTGTATATCTCATTGTTATAATGGGCCAACCTGTATCCTTGTTTCAGCATTTTTCGATTTCCCTTCCCATCCCCAAAAATGTATATACAAGATGCAGAAGCACCAGAATCAAATACAGTGAAAACGGGTTATACCATGGAGTAGAACATATAAAAGAAACAACGAAATCACATGGTACATTAAAAACAACAGCAACAAAGATAAAAACCTCTTGTGTCCCTATCTTGGGGTTCATTTCACTTAGCATCATCTTATATGGTCATATGTACATAGCTTCTGACCTTTTCTGCTTGTCTGGTAAGATTGTCCTAGATGTATACTAGCTTTTTGAAGAGTTCCAGGGGTATTGCAAATAGGAGAGAGAGTTGACTAATGGGATTACATCAAACTAAAAACTTTCTGCCCAGCAAAGGTCATAGTTAGAAGGCTAGAAAGAAGGCTAGCAGACAGGGAGAAGAGGTTTACCAGCAGTATATCTGACAAAGGCCTAATATCCAAAATATACAAGGAGTTTAAGAAATTAACCCCACAAAAAACTAATAAACCGATCAATAAATGGTCAAAGGAGCTTAAGAGAGACATCTCAGGAAAAGAATGTCATATACTCACATGAGGAAACGCTCAACCTCCCTGATCATAAAGAAAATGCAACTCAAAACAAAATTGAGATTCCATCTCACCCCAGTTAGACTGACCACATCAAGAATTTGAACAATAACAAATGCTGTCAGGGAAGTAGAGAGAAGGGAACCTTATTGTACTGTTGGTGAAAATGCAAAGCTAGTATAACCACTTTGGATGACAGCTTTGAGATTCTTCAAAAAACTAAACATAGAACTTCCCTGTGTTCCAGCCATAGCACTCTTGGACATCTACTCAGAGCATTACAAGGCAGGATATGATAAAGACACTTGCACATCCATTTTCATTGCTGAACTATTCACAATAGCCAAGTTACAGAAACAGTCCAGATGCCCTACAATAGATGAGTGGATTGAAAAATGTGTTACCTATACACAATGGTATTTTGCTCATCCATTAGAAAGAATAATTTTATGTCATTTTCAGGGAAATGGCTGGACCTAGAACAAATCATGTTAAGCGACATAAGCCAAGCTCTGAGATACAAAAGGGCACATTTTCTCTCATATGTAGAAGCTAAATCTAAAACATAAATGGACTCACAACTTATTCACAGCTTATGCATTTACAAACAAATAGAATAAAGGAGGATACACTTAGGGGAGGAACCAAAAGGCATAAGTGCTCTCAATGTCTAAAATGGTACTCACCAAAACAAATTTCAGGAAATGGAAACATGTTTTTGTTGTTGTTGTTACTGTTGGTGGTATTATTTGTTTTTGTTTTTGTTGTTTTATTTTCCTTTTTTGTCCTTTTTTGAGGGAGGAGGGGGCAAATGGGAGCACAGGAATGGAGGGAGGCAAGGTGAACAAATGTAGTCATGATATTCAATATATATTATGCAAATAATGAACTATGCACCTTATGGGCAAGGACAGGAGGGGGAAAAGGGGAAAGTGAAGGAAGGAGTGACATTGTCCAGGAAGTATTGTACTTATTACTTGATTTATGGAATTGTAACCACTTTGTACAACTACTTAACAATAATAAAACTCCATCTCCCTAGATATGAGTAATATTGAAAAAATTCCATTTCATTGAAAGCCAACTGAAATAATATGACTTTTTAATAAGCCTGGACATTTTCATTATTATGTACTTAAATATTCTGGAAAAAATATAAAACTATTTTCTATTTTGAGACTCCTTATAACCCCAAAATACTCTGTTATAACAAAATATTTGGTTTAGACACAATTTTGAATATTTTTTTCTATAATTCTTCAATATGAAGCTTAAATTTTGTCTAGTAAAAATAGCTAAAAAAAAACTTTCCTGGCATTTTCTATGAAAAGACTTGTAATTAACATTGAAATGCTATATTTGGGGAAATATTTTACTTACCACTATGACAAGAATATAATGTAATTCTTTACTGAAATATCTTAATAAGGATTTTGACTATTTGAAATAAGAATGTTTTCATTATTTAAACTGAAGAAATCCATTCAGAAGTCTTTCAAAAATCATAGAATACTTTATATAATGTACTTCACTTCTGTAAATATAAATAGCAATTGCTTTCAGACTACTTTTCTCTATCATTAAGTAATTATTTTTATACATAAATGTGAATTCTAGGTATGGAGATAACACATGAACATATGAGACCGAATGTAGGTGATCAAATGAGGAAAACACATGAAAGATCAGTGGCAGCCGAAGAGAAAAATGAACAATTCTTTCTACCTGAGGAAGGATCAAAGGCGCATGCATTTTTCCAGAAGATTGTGCATGCAGCCCAAAATTGGTTCAGTCTCTTCGGCTGGCCAGGAGGACCTCATTTGATAAAGATTCCAGAGACTGTTAGAAGGTGACATTTATGTGCTTTTCTAAACTGTGTTTTTCACCAAGCTATAAAGTATAATCAATTCATTGGCATAATTTTACATGAAACATAATATTAAGCACTTGAACTGAGAAGTATGGTGAGATTATTAAGAAGAGTAAAAATACAAACATAAATCCTTTATCCCACACTTTTTACATAAAATATTTCCATTTTATTTTAGTTCATAAAAATTAACTTTATTAACATGTATTAAATTAATATATGAACAAACATCAAAGTTGATTCTGTGACTGAGACTGCTATTAGTAATGCTACAATATACATGGATGTGCAGGTATCTCTATGGTATGCTGACTTTGATTGCTCTGAGTATGTACCCAGAAGTTGTATGCTCTATGTATCAGCTTGCCCCTTTACACTACAGTTGAATGGATTTTGTCTGTTCATTGTATTCTAGAGGTCTTGGATATTGTAGCCATGATTATTTGCCATTTTGTCTTAATTGCTCTCTGAATATAAAAATTCTTCAGTATTGTTTCAATCGCTGATGGTTTTTTCACCTTCCTGGTGTACGTTATTGGTGATGTTTTCATTGAGCTTTTTATTTGGCTTATTGACCTCTGCATTTTCATGATTTCCATATCTATGAGGTGTTTTGTGGGATTATTTTTTTTGCAGAATCTCTTGAGTTTTACTAAATTTCTCATATGATTCTTGAATTGACTTCTTCAGTTCATTTGATTACTTCAATACTCTTTGAGGTCATGGGTCATTTTAAAATTAGACTTTTGGTATATTTTTATGAAGCTATTCAAAATATTGAAACTTGAAAACAAGTTTTGTTGCTTTTTCATATTTACTTTTCTATGTTGTAATTGGTACATTTGCTGAGACAAAAATCTTTTTTGATTGTATATGGGACTCTTATTGAGTGATCTTCTCTTGAGGGCTCCATCCCGGGTAGCACTCCGGGAAGAGAAAACAAACTGCTGTAAGGGAAATCATACCAAAACATTTAATTGGAAAGTATAATATGAAGGAAGGAAGGAAGGGAGGGAGTGAAGGAGGAAAGGAATGTAGGATTGTAATGAAGCAGGGAGAGAGGCAGAGAAATGGAACTTCACTTTGTAGTTACCTTATGTAATTATACTCTATTAAAACCAGTTCATAGCAGCCAGGGCAACAGGGTGCAGACCATTTGTTGAGTTGCAAGATATGCAGATAGAATTAAAATCAAATTAAGCAATTTTCTATTATCAATGAATCTTTAGTGTGGTAGTGTGTATTCAGTACTGCAGCCCTTTAGGTATTATCTTTAAAGCCTTTTCCAAAATATCAAGATGGAAATAGCTATTGAAAAATATAATACTATTTTTGCTTGAGAAATTTTTAGGAAAAGCATCATTAACATTATATTCCACTTTTAAATTCTGGGAATGAAGATTGTCTCCAGATACAACCTCTAAGCAACTGATTATAAAATCATCTTATTATGCTGGAAATACCACTTAATTTGAGAAGAGTGATTATAATACATATGGGTGTTATTCTGGTATTCCACTCTAACACATACCTCTCAGCAGCTGCAACACACCAATACGGAATCTCTTTAGGAAGTTTACAAAGAAGGCTTCTAGGTGTTTTAAAGCTGTTTTCCCAATGGGCTTCTGGTTTACTTAAAGTACATAAAATCTGATAAAACGTCACATTTTCAGTAAAATAATTTATCATTCACTATGAGATTTCCAAAAAGTATAAAATATATTCTTTCTAGTTTTTCCATTTCCTCTTCAGCATAATGGACAGGATAATACTTACCCTATAGGGATGCTGTAATATCGCAACATGTAAGAGATCCCTTTAAATTGTATTAGAACAGAGCTTAGGTTGTAAGTGCTTGGCAAATGTTTTATTATTCATAAATTTCCTAAGGATTATGTTGTTTATTGCTTTTTTACTTTTTTAAGAAAGCTTTTACTTATATATAAGAAGTTGCAAAAACAACATGGATGATATGTATTCTCTCTGCCACAAAAGGTTACAGCTTACATGACTATAGTATAATAACAAAATCAGGACTTTGACTTTACTACAATTTTGCATACATCCTTTCATCTTTTGTGTAGATTTGTGTATCTAACCCCCAATCACGATATAAAACTATTTCATCTCCACAGTTATCTTCCCTGTTCTGTATCTAGGTTCCTCTTCACTATCTAGGTTCCTCTTCAAAAGACTAAAGTATCCCTTTAGTCTTTCTTTAGTGCCTTCTGAATGTCTCACCTATTATTAGGTAAAACAACTCATACTATATTTCTGAATTTATAAATCTTTGTCACTAGTCCTTCTATTTGTTAGTTGAGAGCTTAACATTTATCATTGCATGCCTGTACAGATTTTATTTCATTAGTCGTATTTTAACTTCTTATGGAGGATTTTCCCTCACCTAAGTTTTATTTACTTCAGGATTTTTACTTTCTATTTTCTAAAGTTTACCTTTGTGTGAACATATTTGAGTGTGAAAGTGGCGGGGGGGGGGGGGGAGAGGAGAAGAGTGAACACTTTGAGCTACTACCAAGTTCATTGATAAATTTAATAATTTTAAAATAATGTCATCTTCATTTCTAAATGTTCCACCCATTTATACTGTCAATAGGGACCAAGAAAATAGAAATTTGTCTTTAGCTTCAAGCTATGTGTTAAAAAGAAAGTGATTGTAATAACTTATTAGCGCTGAGGTTCTGAATTCTTTTTACCATTATTTGAAAAATAAAGCATTTTATAATTTTTCTTTTCAAAATAGTTTCATATTTTACTATGGTTTGCTTTGTGATAGTGGTAAGTGGTAATTTTTTCTCTACCTAGAATGGTGGATAATAAGTACACTGAACTTTTGCCATGAGTACATTTTCTATCTTCAACATACATCAATTTTCATCATTTGAAAAATAAATATAATTTAATATCATAATATTATAAAAGAGAAGGAATAAGGTGAAATTATCAAGCTTTTACTTATAATATGTAGATATTATAAGTGGAATATGCGTTGGCGGAATATGCATACAGGTAGACATTTAAAAAGATTGCATAGTTTTTACATCTTAATTTGTTTTTCAATGGGCAATTAAGTGATATGATTAGCAATATTACCTTTTCTTCTAGAAACCATCAGAAGACTGAGCTGTGAAATTCCATTAATTTTTATTTGCTAGAGGTACTTTGAAGACCCAACCTATTTCTTCTGAACGTTTAAAATCATGAATAAAGTACATGTGAATACAAACCTGCTAACCTTCCAGTGTAGTCATCACATTCTCAATATGTCACAGGCCTATCATGACCCTAGCTATGCTACCAAAGCTACTGTACAAAGAAAACGACTATCTTGAATTTAGGCTTGATTTCATTTTTAATAATTTTTGTCAGATATCCTAAAGCCAGTATTACCCCTGTGGTACAAATACACCTATGAAACTAGCATTTAAATCAAGACATAGGAGAAAAAAAATAGCATCGCCTAATTCTTCCTACCCTATTGCTAATTTCCTTTCTCTCTTCGAAGAAGAAATCTGTTTGTATGAATTATAACATCACAAGTTACTTTTACCTATTTTTTAGCTTCATATAAGGAATCACAGTTTGCGTTTTTAAGTGTCTGAAAGGAATCACAGTTTGCGTTTCTAAGTGTCTGAACCTTTTGATCAATATTATATTCATGTGATTTATACACATACTTACATGTAGAGGTAGTTTACATTTAATGGAGTACTCTAGGCCATTGAATGCGTTTACTACAGTCTCCTCTAGAAAGATAGTTGTACTGTCCTAAGACTTTTCTATTATGAACAATTATGCTTTGAAATATTTAGTACATATTTTGATGTATATTTCTGAAAGGCATATGAGATAAAACTGCTATATCATAAGGTAGAAATATGATCATTTTTAGGAGATATTTATAATCCATTTTTCAAAAGATTTCTTCTAATTCTCACTCACAAAAGCAGTCTCACAAAAGCAGTACATACACTTCCCTGTTCTGTTCATTCTAAGAAATATAAATTGTCAGCCTTCAGCATTGACTATTAGGTGGATGTTCTTTGAACTGAAATTTTGCTGTTACTGATGTTGAGAGGTTTCACCTGCTCTGGCCTATTTGAATATACTGTCATCAAGTATATTGATGACATTTCCCACTGTAAAAATGTGGATCCTCTTTATTCCTCATTTGCAGGAATTTTGTGTGTTTTGCATCTGTTGTTTACTAGTTCTGTGCATTATAAGCATTCTCTCTAGTGTATTCTACCTTATGAAAGATTATTTAGTTTTGTCTTTTTCTTAGGCATGAAGAAATTTCCTTTGTTCTCCCTCCCCCCCAGGAGCTTTGCTGTTTTTTCTCTTATGACTAATATTTGATCCTTTCCAAATTTATTCTCTGTAACATGATATGAAATAAGGATCAACATATATTTGATTATTCCCTGTTTCTAGTGGCAGAAGATTCAATACCATTTATGGTATTTATTCAAATGAATTGATTGTGGGGTTTGTCTAGTGAACTGAACATTATTCTTCATATTCCCTATTCATTCTACAATGCTTCCTTTCTAATAAATCAAGCATATTTGTGAACATTTGTGATTCATTTTTTATAGTACTAGGGCTTGAACCTGGAACTTCATACTTGCTAGACAGGCACTTGACCACTTGAAAATATTTCTAACTCTTTGTGTTTTCCTATTTTTTATTTTTTTTCTGTGCTCAGTGAGTTTTAGTAACTTGGATCACTCACATAATTAGTAAGTAACAAGTATAGAAGTCAAACACCCTTTTTATTCTCAAGCTAGTTTATTCACAATTCAACCCTATGTGTTTAAATGAGATATTAGATATTTCTGGGCATATTTAAAAATTGAATTTGGACAATCGACCCTAACAGAGTGAGGGGAATTTCTAGAAATTTTGCTTAGTTGGTTTTAATAGTATTTCATTTAGTTATTGAACATTGAGCATTTGTTTTCACAATATATCATTTCAAGAAATTTCAATTTATAACCTTTTTTCTATAGGGACGTTCAAAAAATGCGAAGCTATTCAATGAAGACCCCTAAGAAATACAACAAACAGGATGATTTCTTTAAATATAATAAGACTGTTTATGATATGATCTACCACCTGAGTGGAAGAATGCCACCTGGAATTAATATAAGCCAATCTTTACCATCAGATGATACTGAAAGAGTGATTCAGCTTCATAAGCAACACTCTTCACTCCTGAGCTTCATAACGTAAGAAATGTGTTCATTTAAGCATGTAATTATGCCCAATTAGATGGATGGATTGATGGATAGATTAGTGGATGGATGGATGTATAATATAATCTTTGAAATTTTTTGTATTATTTTTAAACAATTTATTATTATATGCCCTATAAAACACACAATAGAAAAATATGTTCTTGTAACAGAAAATAAGCATTTTATGATCATTTTTATACTTACATTTTATCTTTGTAATTCAAGGAAGTTATTTTCACGCTTTACCATACATCTGAATCACCAGGAGGTCTTGTTAAAATGATTTTCTGGCCCTTATCATAGAGTTTTATGACGGCTATTTGCATTTATTACAATTTCCTAAGTCCTGAACCATAATGTTACTTTGAAAATTCTTATGTAAGACACATAATCTCACAAATCAACTTAACAAAAAAGGGAAAGAATCTGATTAGCTTTGTTCCTCTGTTTACTGTTAGTATCATCAAATATTGTAGAATCTGTGAAATTTTAGTTTATATAGTTAAAGTCTATAATGCCAGGTAAAATGTTTCACACATGATTGATAATAACCTATTGTAAAAATAATTATGATCCTAATTCTGTGTTACTCTAATAGATGAATTGACAAATGGCCAAGAAATGGGAAAGCAATGTTAACTGAAGTCTGAGGAATTGGATTGTTATTGTTGCTCAGATGGCAGAGTGCCTCCCTAGCAAGCACAAGATCCTGAGTTCAAATACCAATACAAAAAAAACAAGTCAGAGCATAGGGTTTCTGAGTTTATATTGCTTCTTTGTCCTGCATGTCAGTATTGTTGTTACTGAAATTCCCACCTTCACAGGCTCTATTCTTATTTGCCCTTCATCTTCCTTCTTCACTAAAGTAGCATTAGTTACTTACAATTTTTATATTAGTGCACTTTCTCTTTTGCTTTTTCTGTTTGATATTCTCTGTTTTAGCAAAAAGTTAGATGAAAGAGTAAGCTAAGGACTCTTAAATCAAAAATAAATTATTTAGCATTCAGTTTTAAAAGTTACAAATAAGGATTTTTGAACCCCTAACAGGGGTACTATTAAAAGTTTCACATAGATTAAGCAAAATATTTCTTTCATTTGCTAAGTTCTTACTACCATATAGTCAAAACTGCATTAATTTCTTTATGGCTTGGGATCGAGCTAGAACTTTGAATTATGACCCAGGTAGCCAATGAAGGTTGCTATGATCGGATACTAAAGATATTCCATATGAATGAAAAATATTTGATTGCAACAGTTATAGGGAACATCTTGATCCTTGGTGAGACTTAGAGAAAAGTCCAAGTCCACATCTTAGAATCAACAGCATATGTTCACTTGACAAGTAGGTTCCAATCACAGAGACAACGTTGACAGAAAAATCAATGATCCAGAAAAGTCATGCTCTGCATATATAGGTATGCTTGTCTGATATAAGCCCTGTCTCATGCATGGACAATTCAGATGCTAGAGGCCATATGCAATTTTCAGCCCTCTTTTATCAAACAATAACAAACCAAAAATATATAAAAGTAGAACACAGTTTTAGGAGGTATCATGCATATAAGGAAGCTTATCATTAAAGATTTATTTACTTGAGAATGAATCTTCTCTTTCCAGATATCTCCTCACATTAGAAGTTGGGGAAGAGGAGCTGAATTTTTTTTTTTTTAGCATTTATCACAAAGATCAGAATTACATCAAACTGTTTGGCTTGTAAGACACAAAGAAAGAAACAAAGACACATCCCTAGCTCTCTACATTCAATGTTAATGGACAACATTGCATTGATTATACAAAATGGTATAAACATCATTTTCCATTCCTCTGTCTCAAAATTGAGTTGTTCAATTTCACTAACATGTGAGTTTCATGAGGTAAAAATCACATGCTATTTATCTCTTGTCATTGAAACTGAGGATTATTGATAGCACAGAATAAGGTCAGTTATTTATTTTCCTTCACAGATATTTGCCTTTTGAGTTTATGTCTCATAGGGAATAAAACTTTGAAATTAGGTCTCAGAATAGTCACATAAATTTTATGAGAAAAAACTGTAATACAAAAATTTAACAGAAAAGTAGTACAAGTAAAGGACTTATATTTCAAGAGAATGTAAGCAATGAAAGAGGATCATATTAGAAAAGGTAGACTATATATTATGCATTTTAAATATAAAAACCTTATTAAACTGTGAATCTGCAAATAGATTTGTATTTCATTATACCTGTATTCATTTTCTAAGATGGACTGGGTTGCTTAAAGGCCAGAAATTTATTTTCTCACATTTTTAGAGGCTGGCATTCTAAGGTCTTCAACTGAGGCCGCATTCCTTGGCTTGCAGATGGCTTTCACTATATCTTCAAGGATTTTTATCCTCTCTGTATAATGTCCTTGGTGCCCCTCAGTGGGTTCAGATTTCTTCTTCTTAAAAGACAGCATCAAACTGGACTAGGGCCCACTATAATAATCTTATTGTTCACTTGACACATCTCTACAGAGCCACATCAGGACTTACTGGGAGTTTGGGTTTCCACTCGCGAATAAGATCTCATTCAGACCACTACAATAGCATCTGGGATTGTATTATAAACATATAATCAGATGTGATAATAAATTTCATAAGATTGTGTTTGCAGTAATCTGCATAATATTTCTTGTCTTTTTGCCATTAATTGTACTTTTGTCTAAATGCATATGTTGAAGGCCTTCATTCTGGGAATTAAGGAGAGAAGTTTTTTGTCGTTTTTGTTTTTGTTTTTTGTCCTTCTTGGGGCTTGAAGTCAGGGCCTGGGCATTGTCCCTGAGCCTCTTTGTGCTCAAGGTTAGCACTTTACTACTTGAGCGACAGCACTTCCAGCTTTATCTGAGTAGTTTATTGAAGATCAGGCTCTCATAGACTTTCTTGCCCAGGCTGGCTTTGAACCACCACCCTCAAATCTCTGCCTCCTAAGTAGCTAGGATTACAGGCTTGAGCCACCAGTTGCATGCTTGGGGATATGATCTTGCAGGAGGTAATTGAGATATTAAGGCTAAAGGAGGTAATAAATCCTTTTAAGAAGAAGAGATGACCTCTCCACCCCTTTTTTTTCCTCTCCATCCTCCTGCTTCCCTTTCTCCTCCCCGCTCCACTTAAGAGAAAAGAAACGAAAAAAACACAGTGAGATGGTAGCTATGTGCTAGAAAATAAAATTGTATTGTTTAAGCCAACCTGCTTGCCCAAAGAATTTCATTATGGAAAACAAACACAGTGAATAATATCCTTTTATTTAATTTCACTTGTTTTGACTTTTACACGTATATGATATGATTCGTTTTATTTGAAAAAAATATTTTCACTTATTTGAATATTCAGAAACTTAATCTAGTAGAATATAAACATCAAATACCCTATATTGTAGCTGAAAACTAAGACGTTGTAAAAATATAAACTATAATTATTCTGATTTTTATTTCATTTAGTTTAAAGTAATTTACTCATTCCTCAAAAATAAATATATCTATATAAAGCAACATAAAATCCCTTATGGCTAAATTTAATTTAATGGTTTTTTTAGGTATTTTTTATTGTCAAGGTTATATACAGAGGGGTTACAGTTACATAAGTAAGGTAATAAGTACATTTCTTGTCAAACTTGTTACCACTTCCCTCATTTTTCTCCTACTCTCCCTTCCCCCCACCCCCAAGTTTTTATATATTATCTTTGTATAACTTTATATTCTTCTTCTTTATTTAGGTCTGTTTTAGAACTTATTTAATGAATTTTCATCTAAGAATGTACTATTTCAAAGTAGCCCAGTGATCCTGAAACAGTGCACTGAACTAGAATAAAAGAATCAAATTAGATTCAGGCTTCAATTCCAGCTCATTTGTATTTCTATAACCTTGCATACTTACTTCATCTGCTTTGAACTCCAAGTTCAACATTTATAAAGCTGAGGATGAGAATTCCTAAACTTATTTGGTTGATAAAATGTACATCATTATAAGTCATTATTATTGTTACTTTAAATTCGGTGCAGTATGGGCTAAGGCTTTTGTATGTTAAGGTGCTTTCATAAAGTTATTTCAATATGATATATATTACTGTAGTAATACACTGAAATGACTTATGATATCATGTTTACTAGAGTATTTTAATAAATTTCTATTAGAAAATAATATTTGGCTTTTATAAGAAATGTCAGAAAGTTGTTGTGTGCCAGGTATATCCTCAGTTTATTAGATAGACTAGGAAATTTGTTGAAATGTATGTTTTTTTTTGTTTGCTGTTTTTGTTTTTGTTTTTTTGCTGGTCGTGGGGCCTGAAATCTGGGCCTGGGCGCTGTCCCTCAGCTTTCAGCTCAAGGCTAGCACTCTACCACCTGAGCCACAGCACCACTTCTGGCTTTTTCTGCTTATGTGGTGCTGAGGAATTGAACCCAAGGCCTCATGCATGCAAGACAAGCACTCTACCACTGAGCCACCTTCCCAGCCCTGAAATGTATGTTTGAAATAGAAAATATACAGCTTTTCTTTTAGTTTGTCATTTCTACTTTTGATAATAGAAGACTGTTTCAAGAAGGAAAAGCCAGTAATTAAATATGGTAAAATTTCTGATACTTATTTCAAAATATTATCTGTAATTTGATGGAATATTAACTGAGAGCAAAAGAAGTTCTGAATACAAATTCTGAACCTATAGTTGCTATAGAAATTAAACTATTCTATTATTAAACTCTATGGTACTTGTATTTTTGTGTTAATTCTTGTAGCATATTTATTGTCTTAGCTCCCAATAGTGTTGACATTTGCATGGGTCGTTTCTGTTTTGACATGTTATGTAAGGATGAGTACGGAAAAATGATTTTGGCATTAAAGCCAAGCCATTCAGATTTATTTGCTCCTTATCAGCAAATACTTGCCCATCAGGATATGTTGACTGTGATAAAAATTACTTAACATTTAGAAAGTGGCAGTGTGGTTAATAAAATTGGGTCATTAATCCAAGATATGTGTACATGTTTCATCATAGAAATAAATCTACTAAAATTCAAAAGTCATAAAAGCTATTAGCTTCCCCAGTTAAATTTGATGACACAGTGGAATGACTTTTGTGCAAGTAATATCTACTTTGTACAATAAAGAAATAAATTTTTAGAGATTAAGTTAAAATTAAAAATTTAGAGATCAGTTTGGAATTGAATAGCTATTTCATCATATTTTACCTTTAACTAGTCACTGAAGGCACAGAAAAATACTCAAGCAGAAAACTTAGTATGTAAAAGTGTAACCAAATAAGTTATTAAATTCCATAGCACCACAAACAAATCGTAATATCTACTGATAAGACATAAATGGGGCTAGGAATGTAGCTTAATGGTTAGCATGCATGAGGCCCTGGGATCGATTCCTTGGTACCACATAAACAAAAAATAAATAAAATGAATTTACAAGAAGATATAAATGTAAATAGTGTCTTAAGGAGTGATGAAAATAGACTTTGAAATAGATTCAGAAAGGAAAACAACAAACATTGATGACAGACAGCACAACCTTTAAAATGTAAAAGTATATTCTTCATCTTTAACTTTTATCCTGTTCTGCTCTCCCGTGTGCCATATAGAATGCTCAAATACATAACAGATGATGTCCTTCCTGAGAATCTCCCATTGTATTGGCTCTCTTTTATTTAAGCTATCAGTAGCATTTGATTGGACTGATCACTTATTCCTGAAATCCTTTCTCAATTTTGGTTATAAGAAATGATTCCAATTTCTAAATTTCTCCATATGCCTCTCCTCTCAGTTGTCTTGTTTTACTCTACAAGATTCCAACAGAATAGAGGCATAGCTTAATTACTTTCTTACAAAGGCTTTAGTTTGCTCATTTCTGCTCAAAAACAGTGTTACATTAAAATAAAACTTTGTACAAGACTACAATAATTGAAATATGATGACGATTTATGCAAGTAATATACATTAGGGTAAGAACTGCCTGAGAATCAGAGAAATGTTGCTCAATTTCCAAACAAAGAAGGCAGCATTTTTTTTCACTTGCTTAGAGTGGTCCAGGATTACAACAAAATGGACAGCTCTAGAACTGTGCTCACTGCCTCTACATCCACAAATTTCTTTCCTCATGTATCTTTAAATTCCTTGGTTCTATCTTCAAGGCTTGAATTTCCATCATCATCTTGAGCTTTCTTTTTTCCCCCTTGTTTCTCAGTAATTACAGGACTATATACTCTGAAAGATGCCTCTCCAATGGAACAGTAGATGCAATATTTTTCTCTGTTTTATTGCTGAATGGTGTTCTGTGTTCATTAAATGAATTAGACTAACGGACTCAAACCTCTTTTATCAAGAACAGACAAACGCATGAGACTTATCTCCAATTACCCAGCAAAATACTTGACTAGAATTGTGGCTTAAGTGATAATGCACCAGCCATGAGTGAAAAAGTCGAACGTGAAGCTCTGCATTAACGCCCTTGTACCAGGAAGAGAATAGAAGAGAGAAAAGAAAAGGAATTCTTTTGCAGTGAAAAAGTAGTAGATAGGTAGATAGAAAAATTGTAGGTTTTAAAATGGATTATATAATACAAGCAGACATTTACCACTTCATATATACTATCACAAACTTACATAATAAAAATTCTTTAATATTGCAAGTCTCTTTGGAAAAAAATAGATATGGACTTCCTGATATTTAGAGTTTTCTATATTTAGCCATATATGATAATAATTCTTCAGTAAGCATTAAAGTAGTTAGAGAACTAATGAGCTACTAGATACTTCTGTTGTGTTCAAAAGTTTCCAGATTTTCAAAATTTTAATGCTATAACAACAAGAAAATTGTTATTATATTGGCAACAGAGACTAAGTAATAATTATTGGTATAAGGATATATAAGTGTGCGGTTTTAGTTACTTACAAAATACTTTTTAATCAATTAAATTCTTTTTTTTTTTTTTTGTCGGTCGTGGGGCTTGAACTCTGGGCCTGGGCGCTGTCCCTCAGCTCTTCAGCTCAAGGGAAGCGCTCTACCACTTGAGCTACAGCGCCACTTCCGGTTTTCTGGTGGTTTTTATTGGAGATAGGAGTCTCACGGTCTCTCCTACCCGGGCTGGCTTTGAACCGCGATCCTCAGATCTCAGCCTCCTGAGTAGCTAGGATTACAGGCGTGAGCCACCAGCGCCCGGCATCAATTAAATTCTTTAAAGGTCACATCATATGCAATTTTATTATTTAGGAAATTTGTTTTATAATTGTGAAAATACTGTACAGAGGGGTTACAATTACATGAGCAAGGTAATAAGTACATTTCTTATCAATCATTGTTGCCTCCTCCTTTGTTTTTCCCCTACCATGCCTTCCACCTCCCTTCCTTCCCCTCCCTCCCCCCCCCCCTTACCCCCTCTCCACCCCTATGCCAAAGTTGTAAAGTTCGTTTTTCAACATAACATCTTGTACATCTCATTGTTGCAATGGGTCAACCTGTATCCCTATTTAAACAATTTGTTTTTTTTTCCTTCTGCTCCACAAATTATACCAACATCAAATACAGTGAAAACAGGAGTTATACCGTGGAGGAGGGACATCCAAAGCAACAAAAAAAATCATCTTATAAATAAGTTAGGAAATTTTTAATTATACAAATTTTAAATTTGAAAATTAGGATTCAATCCATATAAAAAGCTTATTATTGAATATATTTTTGTTGATTTTGGAGTTTGAAGTTAGGGCTGGCACAAACCATTTAAGCCACATCTCCATCTCTTTTTCTGTTTGTTGTTTAGGAGAGGTAGTCCAGAGGTCATTTCTGCCCAGGCTGTTCTTGAACCACAATCCTCTACATTTCAGCCTCCTGAAAAGTAAAAATTATTAGACATTAGCCATTGGTTCCTAGTTATTATTGAAGTAATTTAGTTGAAGATCACTGCCAATAATCAAGTTTTTTTTTTTTAAATTTTAGTGCTCAGGGAGGATGTATATCTCACATACTTCCAGAATTTTTGTTTGAGCCGGATGATTATAGGAGGTGGCGCAAAATAATGGTAAGAAAACAATGTCCAGGAAACATCGACACAGTTATTGAATTTGTTAATATTGTAGTCTTTATTAAAAGGTTCTATTCGGGAGTTGTTGATGTTTATACATGGAACATTCCAATGTTTAATTCTCTTTGAGTAGCTCATGTTATTTTGTGTGTGCATTCATCTAAAAACCTATTGTTCTATGGAAAAATATGATTATGTGACTTTCCTAAACATAGTTGCTGTTAGAGGAGGCTTTGTAAATACAGTGGTATGAGTTTATAAAAATTTCAAGAATGTATATCTTCAATTTCACCACCACATACTGCTTCCTTACTTCAGTTTTAGGGAAGAATAGGGAGAAATTAAGTAAGACATATGTAGTTACTCAAAGTATACAGTTTATTTTATGACAATCTATTGAGGAAGGATATAGCTTTTAAGGGGGTCAAAGGCCTAAGTGAGTGGGCTTTAGTAATGGTGCTGTCACCACATGACTTGAAAGAGCCATGGAGCTATTTTTCAGCCCTAATTTTTCTTTTTCTCATTTTTTTTTGCTGGTCCTGGGGCTTGAATTCTGGGCCTTGGCAGTGTCCCTGACCTTCTTTGGCTCAAGGCTAGTGCTCTATCCCTTGAGATACAGTACCACTTCTGGCTTTGTCTGAGTAGTTTATTGGAGATAAGAGTCTCATGGACTTTCCTGCCTGTGCTGGCTTCAAAACAAGATCCTCATATCCCAACCTCCTGAGTAGCTAGGATTATAGGTGTGAGCCACCAGTGCCTGACCTTTTTTTTTTATGGGTCAGTCCAAAGGTCTGGTTCTTTTTGGCCTCAAGGCTCAATGGAAGTTTGCATCTTGTTCTACCTTGTCTAATACAGAATGAGTAGTAGACAGGGAAGAAGTGTGGAGTGATAATCAATGGGCTAAAGGAGTGACTTCATGCTATGGAATATTAATTCTGTTGATAATGTATACTTTTGGCATATGATAGCTAGAGCTGTTGATGCATATATGAAAAGGGCATGAAATTTTTTGTAAATGAATTTACATTTACATTTGCCTCAAATGTTAATTTGTGTTATAATATTTTATTTCTTTTCTAAATGTAATATTTTATTTCTTGAAGTCTTCCCCTGATTCCAAGGTTCTGCGTTCCTCTACACCCATGGAGAAATATTCTGTAACTATAGATATGAAAAAGTTTGAAGGCTGGAGTAAATGGGCATGGACAGATGTTTTCTTGCAGACATACAAGGTAACTCTTCCATTCTTGTTTGATGTAATTTGCTTTATTCACATGAAAAGTATTTTGGCTCAACAATAGGCAATGCTTACTCTGTGTGTAAATACTGAAAAATGAATGGTTTAGCTTTTCTATGTATCTATGTTCTCCGGAAAATAAATGAGCAGGTAAAGGAGTAATAGGGGATGAGGAAATATATTTAAGGATGTCACTTGAAAGGTGCATCATTTCCATTTCATATTCCATTGGTCAGAATTTAGTCATTTCACTAAATTTTATTATTCCTCACAAAGTACCATGTTCTTTGCTGAATGACTACATCTTTGGAGTTGATGGAGAGAGAGGTCAAGGATGACAGTTTCTTATTTGGTAATTAAGTAGAGTTTGATTCCAGTCAAGACTAGGGGAAAACAGGACTTGTGGGAAAGAGGTTGCAGAAGGTATGGCATGTCAAGACACCATGATAAATTAATTTTGCTCCTGCTGTACTGAAAGTGTATGCATTAGTCTGTAGAAATACTTAAGGTTGCAGCACAAATTTGAGGTTTTTCTTCATTGTTTTGGTGGTAAAAAATAAAGATTGCCTTAGGTCATCTGTGTGTTGTGTTGCCTTAGGTCATCTATGTGTTGTGTTGTTCCACGTATTCTATTTATAGCATGGGTTGCTCCAGCCATATATTAAGCAGAAATGGATTGACAGTTTCATATGAAAAAGAAAATAATATTGCTTAAGTATAAGAATAAGTGGAAGTTTGTGATTTTTCCAAAAATCATTTTAGATTCTGTCTCATATTGAGAGCCCGTGCATACATCAGAGGATTCCATTTATTAGTTCTTCCTAGTTACTGGAGTAACAGGATATAGCTTATTTCACTCAATTTCATTATGCATTGATTACTTCTGCTTCTTAAATCTGTATATTTAATTGTAGTTGTTCTGCATTACATTTTCAAATGACAAAAATGAATTTGTAATTAAAAAATGATAGGTAATGAAAGCATAAAATGTGGAAAACATTTGCTGGGCACTGATGACTCATGCCTATAGATCTAAGGATGATGGTCCAAAGTCAGCGAGGAAGAGAAGTCCTTGAGATTATGAACTTCAATTAATCACCAAAAGCTGGAAGTGGAACTGTGGCTCAAGTGGTAGAACCCTAGGCATGTGCAACAAAAGGTCAGAGGGACAGTGCCCAGGCCTTGAGTTCAAGCCCTAAGATAGGCAAAATAAGTGGAAAACTCTAACAGAACCCTCAAAGACAAAATATCATTCTAAATGTAAGTACAGTAAGGAGGAATCTATGTACTAAAAGATCTAAATATGATGGTAGTTTATACAAAACTTGGGAGCAAATATGATCAGAGATAAATAGCTGAAGAAGTTTTACCATTTGCTTTCTCATTTGTTTCCAGTGTACTCTCACAAGTCTTTTCTACAATAAGATATTTTCAAGTAAAAAGTCTTTCTTAGTAAACATTTTTTCCAAATTAGTTTAAAATCTATGTAATAAAATCAAATTATTTGTTGCTATGGGTAGGTGAGACCACGAAATCTTCAGTCATTATCTACGGTTGTATTTGCATGACTGAGGTAACCAGAAAAATATTGAACAGGTACTCATTAACTGACTTACATAACTGTAACCCCTCTGTATATCAACTTTACAATAAAACTTTAAAAAAAGGGAAAAAATAGCATGGGACACATTGTTTCCCCTGTAGTTGGTGCTCAGACATTTTGATTCTTATTTTTGGTTTTTAATAGTTTTTTCTTTATTTTCTTGGCATATGGCTATCATGTCACTTGCTTGTTACTGTTATCAGTGTGCCTACTTAGAGTATTAGGTTTTCCTATTATACCTTTTCTAGTCTAAGATAGGTATCCACTCTTACTGAAATTGTCTCTAAAACAAAACAAATAAATTCTAACCAAAAATGCCACATGGATTTTTATGAATTAAGAGGGAGAAAGCCAACTTGTAATTTTCGAGATACCAAATAGTGTAGCTCAGAGTATTTATACATCCAAAAACTATGTATTTGAACTATGTATCGTGGTCCTGAAATATGTATTTCTGTCTTCTCTATGACATTTTGTCCACACAGGTAAGATTTGGATAGATGAGTTGTTTCTATATGTGCTTTGGGTTTTTTTCCCATTATTTCAGGACAAGAGTCCATATTATGCATCATCATCTTAAATCCACCCATCCATAATTGAGGATATCACCACTCTTTAAATCCTTCCTGAGCCGGGCGCTGGTGGCTCACGCCTGTAATCCTAGCTACTCAGGAGGCTGAGATCTGAGGATCGCGGTTCAAAGCCAGCCCGGGCAGGAGAGACCGTGAGACTCTTATCTCCAATAAACCACCAGAAAACCGGAAGTGGTGCTGTGGCTCAAGTGGTAGAGCGCTAGCCTTGAGCTGGAGAGCTGAGGGACAGCGCCGACAAAAATAAATAAGTAAATAAATCCTTCCTGAAAACTTTCCTCTGTTGGACACTTCAGAACTGTAGGAAAAATGAGCTCATTGCTGACTGGATGCTAGTTCCGAATTTCCCATTCCCCATAGGCAAATACATGTTGGGAATGTTGTCCTTGCATCCCCAGTAAACTTTGAATTTCAGCTTGCTGACATAGCTTAAGTAATAGCACAAAAGGCTTAGGGACAGCAAAGCATTGTGGCTCAAAGAGGAGATTCTAATGGGATGACTCTGCTGAGGGCCAGGGCCCCCACGGGGCACAGGGCTGACCTGGGCACCCCCACACTAGGGCTGTCTGCCAAATGCAGGAGCTCCGTTCCACATCATAATGCAGCATGGCAGACAACAGGTGGAGGGAACACACACACACACACACACACACACATACACACACACACACGAGTGGATTCCATTGTCCTACTCACTGTTCATACAATCCAGAAACATTCACAAAAGTTAAAGCCTCAAGCCAGTTGCATGTGACTGGCACCTGTAATCCTGGCTACTCAGGAAGTTGAGATCTGAGGATCACCTTTCAAAGCCAGTCCCAGCAGGGAAGTCTATGAGACTCTTACCTCCAATTAACCACCAGAAAACCGGAAGTGCTCAGGAATGGTACTCAGACCCAGAGTTCAAGCTCCATGACTGACAAAAAAAAGTTAAAGCCACAGAGCGTATACATTTGTACATTTCAGTAAAGGAGAAACTTCCAAGTCTTAGGATATTGTGGTTTTGTGGTTACATGGCATCCTCAGGGTAATGAATAATCACTCATTACTTAATCCAGTATTTTAACAATGATATATGGCTTATTTGTTTGATTTCTCAATTAATTTGGATGTCCTACAAATTTACTTTTGCAAAGTCCTTGAGTTAATTATATAAAGATACATCAATTAAATGTTAAATGATCAGACATCCCTAAATCTAAAAGTAAAAAACTAGCTATCTTCCTTCTAGGCAACGTAGGTCTATTTGAAATGATTCTTCAGAAGAAGTATGTAAATAGATATTTTTTAGAGATTTATTGAAAATTTAATGATGAAAATTATTATCTTCTTTCTGTGCCAGTGCATTGAAATAATATATAATTAAAAATTATCAGTGACATATTGCATTGAAACCCCTTTGTACAACAACTTAAAGATAAGATAATCCAGAATTGTCATTGAACAGCAATAAGATAAATATAATGCCAAAGTTCATAGGGAAAAGATATCATTGATGGATAGTATACAATACCTGTAAATATGTATCATTAGTGAGAGTTTTTAAAAATTATCTTTAAATAGTTGTACAAAGGAAGTTCAAATCAGCATGTGAGTTTATGAGTACAATGCCTCTTGCTCACTGTCCCCTCTTTCATCGTTCTCTCTTATCTCCCCCAATCACATCCATTCCCTCAATTTTCCTAGTTTGTGATTTTCATTTTATTTCTAATATATGCTCAATTGTGATATAGCATAAATTTTGTTCTATTATGTGGGTAATCTATTACAAATCATTCTTCAATCAGATCTTTTAAAAATGGAAATGTGAACCAAGTTTTATGAAGGCAGGAAAGTATAGACCACTAAAATTGATTTATCTAAGTTTGATTGATTACCTGGCACAGCTAATCCTCCTGTAATCCTCATTCTATTCATTTAACTCATACTTTATGTAGTTTTGATGTTGAGGAACATAATACATGCTCCAAAGATATATTTAATTTTCATATGAATAAGTCTTGTTCTTTCTGTTTTTATTCTTTAGTTCTTTTTCTAGCAATTCATTTTTAGCATATTTGATGGAGCCTACTAGTCTGTAGCTTAGTGAAAACCAACAGGTCTTTCATCTTTGAGAATAAAAAAAATACTTCTATAGAATTAGGCTCTAAGAATGGTGGTTCTTTCTGTACCAGAAGCTATATTCATGCCCCTTGTGTGTCCAGCATTAAATCTGAGTTTTGAGTCAAGGTTCACTTGCAGACCTTGTTTCCTTTGCAGAGGAGATTTGACAGATAATAGATGATTCCTTAGTCAGATAAGATCATTAGACCAAAACATTTATCTCATCAGATATGCTCAGACATTTTTATCATTTAATGTTCCCTAGAAAAGGGTAAGAGTTCAAATGATTTATACTATAAAATGGATCTAAAAGCCCTCTTGAAACGTAAGACATTCTAGATGACATAACTGCCAGAATGAAAGAAGGCGGTTCTTTACACTTCTTCCAAAAACGCAGTTCACATTTTGTGGATGATGATTCTCACTAGACATCTGCCAGAAAAAAATTCAATGGGTAATGGGTTCTTGATGAAATTAAAAATCGTTCCCATGGTAAGAAGTGAAATAAAAACAGTTTAGGGACCCTGATATGTATCTTAATGATTTTTAAATTATCAGCATTTGGGACGGTAATTAGCAATTAGCATAGATATGTATACTGCTTAGAGAAGTGATTATTTTCCAAAGCAGTAATTTATATTCTTGACTATTAAAGTCCATTGGGATTCTCCTGGAAGCAGACTCTGAGACAAATATTTTAGCCAAAGTAGTTTTTTTTTTCCCCAGAAGTGATCCCAACATGCAAGAACAGTAGGGAATTGAAACAGAGAATATAAAGAAGGTAATAATAGATGTGGCTTCAAGCAAGTTTCTTATAGCAACCAGGGCTCAATCTCCTAGAGTTCTATGGGAGACATTACAGAACATATCTAAGATTAATCCCTACTGAGTGCTGAGGAAATTGGAGTATTTAAACACCAATTTCATCATCATTTTCTGTGAAGAGTTGCTTCTGAGATCATTATCCCCTGGTGCTTCTGACTTGCTTTCTGCTTCCTTCATGTACTTCCACATACCAGAAAAACATACTTTTCCATGGGGAATTTGAAAGTCTTCACTATGTGCAGCTTTCAGAATGTTGAGGTGAATGTGGGATGGTTATGGATACTGACCATATTACTGTAATGATATTCATTTAAATTGTGCTCCTCACACCTATTTCAATGGGAACTATCTATTAAAGCTTTCAATTGTATTTTATTGTTTTGTTTTTCTTTTTGAGACAAGATTTCACAGTGCAAGTCATCTTCCTGCCTTGGTCTGCCAAGTGCTGGGATTATAACTGTGTGCCACCATGGCCAGCTTTTTACATTTTGACTTTTTAGTTGTATTAGCTGGTTAAGAAATGAGAAAAGCATCTAAAAGTTGTGTGGTTGAAATGAACAGTTCTGTTCCCACATGTAGTTTTTTTTTTAACCTAAATAATAGTGTGACATTCTATGGACCAAAAGCTATAGAAGTAAAATTCAGATATTCCTAATGCATATCTTCACTGTTCATTTACCTCTGAATTGATATATTTAAATAGCAAATATTGTCACCTTCCTTTATGTATCTACCTGTAATATTCTTTTTATTCAAATTCTAATTTGTTAGTTTTTTATTTGAGTCTAATATAAATCATCTTTTTCTCAATTTCAGGTGCTTGTGCTATCACGTATTGAACCTCATTATACCAATTCTGCACCTCACATACATAAACAAAACTCACCAAAAATAAATCCTTGTTTTGGATCCAGCAACATGTATTCTAATTCTGAGAGGATTTTACTCAGTTGGTTGAATACAAATTATGAGAATGTCCGACATATTATATGGAAAAAATCTCAGAAAGGTAAGAACTACTTGTTTCTTTGAAAAAAATTAATTAAAAATATAATATGACAGTGTTAAAGGACCTGAGATACCACCACACTGAACCTACATGGTCTCTAGATCTCACTCTAGCATTTATTTTGTGTGCTTAAAAAATGGATGCCCTTTCAACATCTTCACCACTCAGTAGTAAAATGTACTTCTTTATTTTGAAGAATAAATGACAAACGTATGTAAAGATGATATGGAAATGAAAGATGCCCTAATGGTATTGATAGCAATTTCAACTGTACTGTTAGGCTTTTAGATATTGCCACTAAAGTTTTGTGCATACTTAGTTAGATCAGGTGAAATTAAATGATAAATCTTCTTAATATGTTTATGAGGATCATGTTAGACATCACTCAGCCCAATAATACTTCATGGATTTTTGGAGGATAAGTTATTTTAAGTTCATATACTGAGACATGTTATTATTCACAGATAGACCAACCCAAGTTCAGTTAAGTGTGACTGAATTTGGCCCTTCCTGGGTGAGGCCCTATCAATTTATATTCAGAGAACCTTAAACTTTGCTGGAAATGTTCTATGTGTTAATGTAGCTTCACAATTGTTTTTAGTCATAAGCATGGGTTGTAATTACAACGAATACATGGACATAGTTTCAATTCAGTTCTTTGCTCCTATTTATATGCACACTTGTCTTCAATATTATCTTCATTTTGACATGTAAATATGTAAATAATCTATCTTCATACTCAATTCTTAGAAGTTAATCCAAATGTTAGAAGTAAAGGATGTTTGAGTTTGGTTTCAAGCCACATGCTGGTGGCTCATGCTTGTAATCCTAGCTACTCAGGAGGTTGACATCTGAGAATTGGGTTCAAATCCAGCCCAGTTAATCACCAAAAAGTCAGAAGTGGAGCTGTAGCACAAATAGTAGAGTGCTAGCCTTGAAAAAAAAAGTCTCAGGGATAGTGGCCAGACCCTGAGTTCAAGCCCCAGGACCATCACACACACACACACACACACACACACACACACAGGTTTGGTTTCAAGTGAGACTTAATGATTGATTGTTCTTAAAGTTACTTACTTTAGAAGGAATAATGTCATCAAGACTAAAAAGGATTGGCTCCGTATGGTTACACACAACTGTAATTCCAACATTTAGGAGGCTGAGACAGGGTGATCGTAAGTTCAAGCCTAGCTGGAGCTACATAGTAAGACCTTATCTCAAACAAAACAAAACAAATTGATAGACATATATTATATATATATATATATATATATGAGAAAAGTAAAAAACGATGATACATGCCTTATAAAATGCATTTACCTTCTTAAAATTACAAAAATTGAGGGTCAAACAAAGTTTGTAGATTTGATTTACTGGTTCAGCACTTGGCTGGCATGTACAAGGCTTTGGGTTTGATCCCTCAGCATAACAAAAAATAGAGTTAAAACAGACAGCAATAAGGTAACCTATGTAAGTAAACACACATTAACAGATCTCAGCCTTCTGAGTAGGTACGATTACAGGCATGAACCACCAGTGCCTGGCTTTTACACTTCTATTGTTAATCACAGAAAGATCCATGCATGTTAATCTTGAAGGGTTTGCTGAATTTTTGCAAATAATTCTTATAAACATATGCCTGGCTCATTTCCCTTTTTTTGAGTACATTGAGTCTTATGACTTTGCCAAGCTTTTGGATTTCCTATTTCCTCATTTTGAAGTACAACTTATGCTTTATTTCCTATATTTATTAGCATCTTCTGCTTCAATATATTAAAGCTTTCTATACATGAGAGGCTCCTTCAGTGTACAAAAATAAATCAATTGGATGTGGGAACATTGGAAATAGTTATCTAGCAGGCCCAGCCATCCAGAGCCTTTTGAATATCAAGCTAAAGTTCCAGGAATCTTTTTCTGTTCATCTTGGAGAATCATGGGAAATGACTAAATTGATATTTGTTCTGGATTAAAGACGATGGAGACTGAGCAACTCCAGCCAACACAATTGTTTCAGTACTGAAAATAGACTAAGGTGATTTAACCCTGGGCTAGGAAGTCAAACATAGTTTGGAAAGTTTTCTTTTCTAACTAACGACAATTGGAAGCTTTAAAAAATAAACAGAAATAAGAGTCATGTGTTTGCAACTATGGCATGTAGTGATTTGTTCTTTATTGTGAGGGTCAAACTATTTTCCCTGTAATAAATAGACATCATTTTTATGAAAGTATGCTTGGTAATATTGATCTGGTTTTTTTTTCTTTTTCTTTTTTTTTTGCCGGTTGTGGTGCTTGAACTCTGGGCCTAGGCACTGTCCCTCAGCTCTTCAGCTCAAAGCAAGTGCTCTACTTGAGACTCAGCTTGAGACACAGTGCCACTTCCCGTTTTCTGGTGGTTTATTGGAGATAAGAGTTTCATGGACTTTCCTACTTGGACTGGCTTTGAACCGTGATCCTCAGATCTCAGCCTCCTGAGTAGCTAGGATTATGGGCATGAGCCACCCACACCAGGCTTGATCTGTTATTTTGTATACTATTTACACTTGCTTCTGATTTGAGTAAAATTTAAAATTATTGTGTTATACTAATTTGTTGGACAATGTTAAGTATGTGGTTTGAGTAAGTTTGATGAATTTTTATTAATATTATTTCTTTAAATTAATTTGGTGTTAAGAACTTAAATTGATAGTTGTAAGGTCTTTTAAATGTATCTAATTTTCAATGTCATTAAACCAGAAAATAGTAATCACTTATTAAAATCTTTATGTTTCAGAAACTCCAAATTATTCCATTAATACTTTGTACCAAATGTTTATTATTGGCATTATATTATTGAAATGGATATAAAAATAGAAATGTTGTAATATGTTAATATTTTAATATTTCAATATTCTGTTTAGTCTTTTATTTTGGGAATGTGATATCAGTCAATACACAGAACTCATGATTAGTGTGAAGGTCTAAGTTCAGAGATGCTAAGTAAGGAAAACAATGTAACAGCAACTTTGTTCAATAAATCCAAGGTAAAAATTAGGTGTCTTAGAAAATGGAAGATATAAGTATTCATCAACAACCATCTTCCCTCCCTCTATTCCTTCCTTCTTCCCTCTATCCTTCCCTGCCTTCTTAACTTCTTCCTTCTTAGCCTCCCTACCTCCTTCCCTTCCTTTCTCCTTTTGTCCCTTTCTCTTTCTTTATTCTTCCTTTGTGTCAATTCCTGCCAGACCAAAAAACAAAACAAACAAACAAAAATGGAATTTAGGACTAGATGAATTGTAGAAAGAAAGTTTCCAGGAAGTAGAATTTTGATGATTGGGCACTCTTAGGTACAGTTGTACTTTTGTTTTTTTTTTGTTTTTTTTTAATTTTTATTTTTTTTTATTGTGAAAATACTGTACAGAGGGGTTACAAATACATGGGCAAGATAATGAGTACATTTCTTATCAAGCATTGTTGCCTCCTCCTTTGTTTCCCCTTCCCATCCCTTCCCATCCTCCCCTTGCCCCCCTACCAAAGTTGTAAAGTTCGTTTTCAACATAATGACTTGGTTTATTGCAGCATTATTTACTATAGCTAAGATATGGAACCAGTTGTACTTTTGTAGTTGAGTAACCTAACAAATCTTATCTAAGGAGAAGACTAGGTGTGGCAAATTCTATACTTGATAAAGAAGCCACAGCTACTGCTTAAATTATCAAGAGATGGAGATAAGCCCTCAGAGAAGAACAAGTGGTATTCAATAGTTTCACAATGAGTGTGTTTGTGTCTGTGCTTAAGAAAGTTTATCAAATGTTCTTGTTTTGTGACAGTAAGATTGTGTAATGTTGAAGTTCACTTAGACTGTTCATATCCAATGAGAAAATAAACTGGCTCAGCTCCAAGAATCAGATCAGTTTCTACCAATACCAATGACTAGCTGATAGAATCAAGCAAACTACCAGATGTCAGGGGCTGTTTTTCTTTTATCTCATCAAAATTACCAAGTAAAATATCTTAAGAATCATGCTTACAATATAACTTCATTTGAATGAAACATTAGGGCCTGTAAAATATGAAAAAATTCATTTATTACTACTAATATTTATAAACAAATATAAATTAAAGTTATACTTATGTATAATTAAATTTTTCTATATAAATTTATAAATAAATGAGCCATATAATTTCAAAAGGCAGTAGTAGCCAACTGTAATTTTCTAATACTTACTAAAGTACAAATTTCAGTATTAGAATCTATCTGCCAATAGTTTATACATATTATCAATTTTTCCATTGCACAATATAGAGAATGTGACCTGTTCATTATATTTTGCATGACCTGACTCAGGACTGAGTCAGTATTGAATTACTTAGTATTGACTGAGGTTTTAAAGATCAAGAACCAAAAAACTCAGTGCAAAAGTCCTTAAAAATACAGAAGTGTCTTCTGTAACTACTGGTCTGCAGCTGTTCTTTTTTTTTTTTTTTTCTTTTTGTCGATCATGGGGCTTGAACTCTGGGCTTGGGCGCTGTCCCTGCGCTCTTCAGCTCAAGGCTAGCGCTCTACCGCTAGAGCCACAGCGCCACTTCCGGTTTTCTAGTGGTTTATTGGAGATAAGAGTCTCACGGACTTTCCTGCCCAGGCTGGCTTTGAACCATGATCCTCAGATCTCAGCCTACTGAGTAGCGAGGATTACAGGTGTGAACCATTGGTGCCCAGCTTTAATTTAATTCTTTTTAATTTCAAGTACTGAGGCTTGAACTCAAGGTCTCAAAATCACTTGACTTGCTTCTTCATGACTAGTGTTCTTGCAGTGAGCCACACATCCAGTCCATTATTTTGCTGATTAATTGGTGATGGGGAGTCTCTTGGGTTTGTCTACCAGGGCTGGTTTTGAATGAAGATCCTCAGATCTCACCATCTTCAGTAGCTAGGATTACAAGCTTGAGCTACCACTATCCAGCCCATTCTTTTATATGAGCAAATAATATTCTCTTGAGTATCTGTATCACCCTTTAACCAA